TACGTTTCCAACGACAAATTTTGTCTTGTTGAAAAAAGCTGATTTCACTCTCATCAGTCCTTTTCAAAAAGGCGAATCAGTCGGCCTCACTGTCATCTGGGACAATGTTTTGGAGTTAAGGAACTTATTGCGCAATATTTGCGCCCACGTGGCCTCCGTCTCTATACATAGCTTAAACAACCATTTGCTGAGTAAACATCTGTTCTTCACCTCTAAGTTTTCAATACCTAGACCCCCTTGGTCTTTCGGTCTGCAAATGATATCCCATTTCGCGAGTTTGTATTTTCGTTTTAATTCATCACTTTGCCAGAAGAATCGAGATCTATAGAAGTCTAGTCTTTTCCTGACACCCACTGGTATCTCGAAAAAGGTCAATAGAAACATTGTCATACTTGTAAGAACCGAATTAATGAGGATTAATCGGCCTCCGTATGACATAAGCTTGCCCTTCCAGCAACTTAGTTTCTTTTCAAATCGATCTTCGATACACTTCCACTCTTTGTTAGAAAGATTGCGGTGGTGAATTGGTATACCCAAATATGTGAACGGTAAAGATCCCAATTCGCATCCGAACAATTGTTTGTAAGCATATTGTTCCTCTTTGACCCTTCCAAAACAGAACAATTCATTTTTGTGAAAGTTAATCTTTAACCCCGATAATTGCTCGAACAAACATAACACAAGCTTCATGTTTCTTGCCTTTTTCAAATCATGCTCCATGAAAATGATAGTATGATCAGCGTACTGAAGGATTGACACCCCGCCATCCACTAGATGCGGAACTAGGCCACCTACTTGGCCAGTCTTCTTAGCCCTATCTATCAAGGTTGTCAACATGTCAACCACAATGTTGAAAAGAATCGGTGACATCAGGTCCCCTTGCCTCAGACCTTTGTGCGTCTGGAAGTAGTGACCTACGTCATCATTCACTAACAAACAACAAAAGAATGACACAACAAGCAAAATAAGCTCTACACAGGCTGCATCAATAGAAATGACAGTATGATAACCACTGTTGAACTCTTGACTAAAGTGATAAATTGAGACAAACCAACCACGGTACTGTGAAAATTAAAGGACCGGCAAAACATCTCCACTAGCTGTTACCACATACCAACACCATGATTTCAACTTCCACGATTCTCCTAACGCAAATTTACATCTCCACAGTTCTCAGTGTGAAACAGGAGCAGCAGTAGTAAGTAGTGACACACTTCGCATCACTTTCGGAGTTAATATCAGAAGTTACTTGCATTCCCCACAGGCTAACTGATCCTCTTGACGGAATCTACCAAGTAGTCGATATCAGGAGTTACGATCGCATGCTTTGTTCACCTCCCCCGGGCTGCAGCAGTGCTTCTTGTTTGTGTTGATAGCTACAGCCTCCTGAGCAAATGTGCAGTCCAAACCAGCTGAAACCTGCACGTTTTATTCATCTCAAGTACCGCATCATCGAAAGACTAGACGTAAGCAGAAATTGCAGCATAAAGAAGTGCAGAAGTTTTAAACACCTACATCAAAGAGTGCATCTCCGAGCCTCATCTTCACTTTACTACTCTTGTACACGAGCAGCTTCCCCATGAGACCTCCTGGCAAATCTTGTAGCGAACTAACCTATGGTTGGATGGTTAGAGGGATTGTGGTATCCCCAGCCCATCAGGGTTCAAATCCGGATGCTTGCATTTATTTCTGGATTTATTTCAGTCGACGATGAGGCATATACGGTGACTTCGTAAATCTCAAGATGATATGCCGGCTCAGTCTTTCGAATGTGCTCATAGGGGTAGAATGTGCGTGCCCTTTCATAGGGGTGAGTGTATGGCGTGTATATGAGCGCTTGTGTTTGTATTGATGTTTAAAGAAACACCCTCACTGTCACTGGTGTCCATGTCTGCCTCAGCAACTGATACAATCTGCGGCATCAGCTTTTAGGCCACTAATACTATACATACGGTACAATCAGTTCGATCAACATAAGATTACAAAACTAATAGAAGTCTAAAAGAAAAGGAGTAACCGGCAGTTCCATCGACATCCCCATGAAAAAGACAGTTGCATCAACATGTGGTGTGTTCTTTTCCATTGATATGAATACCTGAACAAGAACGGTGTCCCTCGACATGATATCATGCAACAGGATATACATACCGTCAGCCCAAGTTCCTTAGCTGCAGTTAATTCACCATCTTGTGTTCTGCTGAAAGAAAACTCTTTGAACTTGTCTTGGTCAATATCTTCTTCGAACTCGTCTTCTTCCGACGCGGCCGCCCTCTCCCTTGCCTTCTGCCTCTTGCAGCGGGCGGCGCGTGCCCTCGATTCCGAAATGCGCATCCGGGGTGCCGGCGGAGCGGGCAGTAGAACACACCGTGCCCTTGCAGAGCAGCGGCCGGAGGGCGAGGAGGCCGACGAACAGGCAACGCCGATTGAGCTGCCCTCGAAGATCCATGCAGGGGGCGGGAAGGGCCAGCTCCGGCGTCAGTGTTGTGGTCGCGGGCGACAGGCGACAGGCGGGGTCGCACCAGAGCCAAAGTTGCCACCCGTGTCCACCCGTAGGCGCTACAGCGTGATGCAGGGGGCCAGCTCGTCCTCATCTACGACAGCATGGCGGAGGAAAGCGTCCCAATCTTCGTCGCCGGAGCCGTCGGAGTGGCTGCCTGTGCTGGACATGGTCGCTGGAGATTGGGATTTGACGGATTGGAGAAAGGGGGAGCGGAGCGGAGCAGAGTGAAGTGAGGCTAAGGTTCGATCCGGATGGGGTTTTTGTGGAGTCACGGTGAGCCAGAGGTGGGCCGTGCGGACATGATGGACACACCCGGTCCATCTTTTATCCGCCCTACATTTGGGTTGAAAATAAGAGGTGTCGGTCAGCCCGTACATTTGAGGTCGATTTAAGGCATCTGAATAAGTCGGGTATTTTGACCCGTCAATGACCGGTCCTCCAGCTCGGGCATTTGATGGGTTTGAGGCGCCCGACCGTAGAGGCTCACACACGTTTTGGTGAATCACTTTTGGCATTGTGCGGTCATACATGGTCATGGAATTAACGGTCGGTAGATCATGTAGCTAACGCAACGTGGCATGGGCACCGGACCGGATACACATTGTCCGTGTGCCACGGTCCTCAATTGGTGAGGCCCTCTGTGTGGTGTGTGTGGGCTATTGTGTTAATTAACTGGGCATCTCTCTTTTCTTTAGTTAATGAATGAGAAAAATCTTTTACATCCGTTTCAAAAGAAAAAAATGCACCGGACCGGATACTCACACGTGCTTCACAACTGCAGCACTAACTTTGTCGGCGTGAACAACAACTGCAGCTCGATCGTAAATGTTGATGACGCTTTCTATGTATTCTCAAACGCACTCTCCGACTTTGTCATGTCATTTATCTCTTTTGAATATGCATAGGTTTTCCAAAGAAAAAGAATCATATGCATTGGTATATGGTAGGTATCTTAGTAACATTTTTATGTTCACACCTCCGTAATTCTGCGTCATACTGTGGCACAAATTTAACACGATGAGCGTACATAATCATACATACTTGCATGGAAGTTGAAGAGAGAACTGTTCATCGTAATGGTTGGGCTCGTCTGAAATGCGTGATCCTCAAGCTCTTTCCCACGATTTTGCACAACAAACTGTTCTCTTTCTTTTCTTCCATGTTTGAGACCCTATGATCATCTCCTAAGCATGCATCATGCATTTAAAGTGAGCCCAGCCATTACCATGCGTATTTAAGAGCATGGCTTGGAGCCGTGGTGTCTAAACTGAGACAAGAAAGCACAGGCTGCAAATGTAGATAGCGACTCAGCCTCTCACTAGCTGCTTACTTACTAGTAGAAGGCAAATCATGGATGTGATATTAGAAGAGAACTGAATTAGTGACGGTACATCATTGTTGTTTTTCTGTACAAACGTTCCACTTGAGTACGCGGTCTACTGCTTTGGGACGGGCATAGCTTTCTCTTGTTAACAGTAGCAACAATTCTGTTACTTGTCAGTGCCCACTACATCTAGTGGCAGAGCTAAGGATAGGTCTCAGTTCTCTAACACGACTCGACAGATCAAAGTACAGCCGACATAGATAGAGATTTACCCTAGGTGAGGATCAGAGTTGTTCGTGCATGTCTGCTCTTCTTCAGCCCGTAAGCATACGGATAACTACCTGCCTTGTATCACTGTGTCAAATTCTAGATTGATGTTGTTCCTGGAAGTTCTACATTGTAGTTTAATTTGCTTGTCCTCGGGGTTTTACATCTCCGCAATCTTACTATGAATCATTTTTAATCCGGAAAGTGCGGAAGCTCGCTAACGAATGATCAAAACTGACTTCGCTTGTAAAGTGTATGTGTTGCCTTGGCAACAAACTGCAACCACCAAAAGTGAATGAGCTGATGGCACCAGCTACCCGGCACTGAGCGGTGAGAGCACGACACTATGATCCATCACGTATGTCAGATACTCGATAGTGGAAAGCCTGAATTGTAGCAGGACTCCATAATCATGAGGCAAAATACACTTTGCAAAAGGGAACATGTATGTTTAGCCGTAATCCTTAATTTGCTCTTCCTGAAGCCTATGATTGTATAAAGTGCTAAAGCAAACGGCATAGAATGACAAAACAACAACAAAATGAGTTCTACGCAGGCCCCATAAGTGAAAATGACAGTGTGGTGGTAATCACCAGTGAACTCTTGACCAAAGTGACAGATCTCAGAAATTGAGAAAATGCACCCACTGTACCATTTAAATTTAAAGAATCGGCAAAACATCTCCACTTGCTGTCACTACCACATCCATGTCATGATATCAATTTCCACTATTCTCCTAATGCCACAGTTCTGAGTGTGAAAAAGGAGCAATGGTAGTAAGTAGTAACACACTTCGCGTCACTTTCGGAGGTAATATGAGAAGTTATTTGCAGTTCCCCACACGCTATCCAATCCTCTTGATGGAGTCTACCAAATACTCGATATCAGGGTTTACGATGGCACGCTTGTTCACCTCCCCCAGCCCCCAGGCTGCAGCAGTGCTTCTTGTTTGTGTTGATCGCTACAGCCTCTTGAGCAAATGTGCAGTCCAAACCTAGCTGAAACCTGCACGTTTTATTCATCTCAAGTACTGCATCATCAAAAGACTAAACATAAGCAGAAAATGTAGCATAAAGAAGCGCAGAATTTTTTAAACACGTACATCAAAGAGTGCATCTCCGAGCCTCATCTTCACTTTACCACTCTTGTACACGAGCAGCTTCCCCATGAGACCACCTGGCAAATCTTTTAGCTTACAGCCGTTGATTGACTCGAGTCTCCTCTTCTTATTGGGTTCTTCTGTTTCAACACCCTCACTGTCACTCGTGTCCATATCTGCCCCAGCAACGGATACAACCTGCGGTAAAGGAAGAGTTGCAGGGAACTGGAAGAAGAGCAACTGTGGTGTATTCATGTTGTCCTCAGTGTCCTATCAAACGATCAATATAATACATCAGTTTTTAGGCCACTAATACTATACAGTCGGTACAATCAGTTCCATCAATATAAGATTACAAAACTAATAGAAGTCTAAAAGAAAAAGAGTAACCGGTAGTTCATCGACATCCCCACAAAAAAGACAGTTCCATCAACATGGGTGCGCTATTTTGCATTGATATGAATACCTGAACAAGAATGGTGTTCCTCGACATGATATCATGCAACATGATATACATACCATTAGCCCAAGTTCCTGAGCTGCAGTTAATTCACCATCTTGTGTTCTGCTGGAAGAGAACTCTCCAAACATGTCTTCATCAAAAAATTCTGTAGCAAAGAGAATGGGATGTTAACGGAAGTGTTTGTGAGAGGCAAACTGTGAGCATGATGTGGCAAAAGCCAAAAACTGCAAAAATGAAGAACACCAGAACCTGGATTTGCAGAGTGGGGCCTCCTTAGAGGGAGGGTAATAAGAGGATAGTTGTAGCTGCGATGGGTAAAGTCCTGCAACAGTTAGGAGATAAGTCAGGTAAATAACAAAACAACCCCCCACCACCCCACCCCTTATGTTATGCTTGTATGGGTTTACTAACCTGAGGTCCAGTGAACTGTTTGGGTAACTTTGCAGCAGAAGTCGTAACGCCAGACATCGTATACTTGCTAAAAAGGTTTACCTCCTGTTCTTGTTTCACTGGCAGAAGAAATGATAAATTGCTCTGTAAATGTTCAGCTGAAGGTAAATATGAAACAAATGGGAGTGCCAACCTACCTGATGAAGAACTTTTAGGGGTGGGGAAGGATCTTGCAGTTGAAGAGTTCACTTGTCCAAATGCAACCTGAACACAGGCTTCTACAGTCGTAATGGAGCAGTATGTTATTACTAAATTATAAACTGAAAACAACATAATGCCGTTACACCGGCGGTATTGAGATTGTTATAAATATTCATAAACCCATATTTATGGACGAATCAGTGCTGACTTCTAAATCGAATTTTGATTACCTAAATTGCAACAATTATCTAAGCCTCTAAGGCGCATCATGCTGCATGTCATTAGTTTGGAGAAAACCTCCAGTCAAATTATATCCTAAGCTAGTGACGATTTCATGAGACAACTCCAGAGTCCAGATTTTTCCTGGCCACACATGTCTGCTTAGGCAATGCAAATTGAATAGATAGCATATTTGAACTAGATGCCTTTGTGCTCCTTGCACTTGGACAGCTCACCATTACCATTTACCCAATAGCTACTCTATATGAACATGGTCAGTACGAACTGTTCAAAAATACAGAGATACCGGTGTCTTATTTGTCACAAATCGTTCAGCAGCTCTCAAGATACAAAGGAGGTTGTGATTCTAGAATCTTAGGAAGTTTGTGTGACAGCAACTGCAGTTAACTGATCAGTTATTTTTCATCGGACACAGGCTGGTGAATGCAGGATGGAACAGGAAGTACAGTAGATATTGTGAGGCAAATAACATTAAAATACTTACCATTTTTCTCAGCCTTGAATCTTCTTTCGAGGGCCCCTTGACTCTGCATATGAAACTACAGAATAAAACACCACCAACCTAAATCAGGCACGTAGAAATCGGACTCAGACATACAAGTACCTGTGGCGTTCTAAGTTTCATCAGTAACTCCTTATCAATTGTGTCAAGCTCGTTCTCCTCTTCCGGTTCCCTGTAGAATCCCAAATTACTTTCATTGCACAAGCACTGCGCCTACTTTAAATGGAAATGTTGACTTGAACAAGCATGCATAAACAGAGCACTGGTTAGTGTACATTACATCTTAGGGACACATTTTGGGGTTTTCTTAGTAGGCACCTTGGGTGAAAATTTAAGCCCGGCCTGCACGCGCAAAGTAGAAGAAAAAAAATGGTAAGCAGCCAGCACACTGAGCTTATAAGCATATGAGATTTAGCCGGAGAAAACACTCACCTTGTGGCGATTGGGTGGAGTGGAAGCAGAGCCATCCTTGTCTTTCCCCTTTTCACTCTTGTCGTCCATGAGAGCAAGTGGAAGATCTACAGGAATGAGATGAGCAGGTAAAGCTTGGGGTAAAAGAGCGTCTCCCAAACAAGTTTTGCCAAGTAAATAGTCAACTTCCATAAATTGCCAAGTGCTGCCTAGTGACACAATTAAGCAATAGCTCGAACTTGCTAGGCGAGCTCCAGGAGCAGCACACTGCGTGTGGCCTGCGCATTCACTCGTGCTCATCCACACGCATGATGTCTCACCCCCTGTGGACAAAAGAATTCCTGACGCTCACAGAAATAACGTCGAACAGCTTCATGGCGTGGCCTAAGCCCTCCCGCACCTCTCCACGCAAGCCCCACACCACCTCCGGCTACTGCCAGCCGGGGCACCAACAGCAAGAGCGCGGCAAAGCAACGCGACGGATCCGGTTCCGGGGGAAGGTTGGCTTACCTCGGCACGGCCGAAGAGCGGTGGTGGTTCCGGCCGGCCGCGCGGCTGCAGGTGGAGCGATCGAGGTAGGGGAAAGTGGAGAAAGTACTGTAGAGAGGGGAGGAGGATGCCGATGCTTGCAGGGAACAGCTTTGCAGTCACAACGGGAGGAGACACGTGTCGCGCCCGCAGAAGGACCGCTGGAAAAGATGTGTACGGCGACCGTATACTAGAATTCCGTTGGTTCCTTTGCCAAGTGGCACACAATGACGGAGCTAAAAAAAATTTGTTGGGCAGGCCAAGATAAAGAAGAACACACACAAAAAAGACAATTATGGGTCATCGGCACTAATCAATACCTTATGTTCCCTTTTTTTACAAGTTCAAATGTGCAGATATATAAAATGCTATTAACAAATAAGCAGGCCGCCTAGCTTCGAGGGGTCACCCACGCGGCCGCTGCTCTGTCACGGCCTCCTGCAGCGAACTCCTTCTCCTTTGCATGGCAGGGTGGCCTAGGATGACGCGGTGGCCCTGGCGTCCATCTTTGAAGATCGTCAGCCAAGCTCGCCTCCCAAGCCCCCGGCGCCCCGCAGGAAGACGTTGGCTGGTGTCAGGATATCTACCAAGGGCGGATTGTCGCTGCAAAGAATCAGGCATCCCGATGGACCTGCTGACACTCCGGTGGCCAAGGTAGCTGAAAGGCTGGTTGGTCGCAGCCTGGGCATCACCAGGGACGGCAAGGACGTGACTGAGGTCACCCTGGATGATTTCACCGCCAAGTTCAGGGAGCAACTGGCTCCTGAGGTGATCATAGTCATGCGGGATTTCTTCCACCTAGACGACAAGGCCGTGAACGATGTGGAGGACGCCTGATCGACCACGGTGGAGAAGGTACATTGGAGATGGCCTCTGCTCAAGAAGGGGCTGCGCTTCAGGAGAGTTCGGAGCTGGCAGCAGCATGATTTGCTTGGTTGTGCTCCAGGATTAGTGTTATGCCTAGTTCTTATGTTAGCAAGCCTACGTTGTCGGTGCTCTGGGAAAGGGGGTCCCCAGACTTGCCTGCCTGCGGCCTGCGGCGTGGCTCAAGCAGTGACCCAGTACGGCCCACCTTCATCAACTCAAGCTCAAGACCCTCGCGAGGGGTCAAGCCTCACGGGGCGGACGACAGGAAGCTTCCTCAGGAGCGGCCTCGCCAGGCAAGCTCGTGAGGAGGCGGAGAGATCAAGGCAAGGATACCTCGCGAGGTGCCCGTGACGCAAGCCATGACGACCGAGGCCAAGCGGGCGCCAGGCGGGCGCCGACCTGCGCAGTGTCCTTGTTTCCTCTTTGGTGCAAAGGGAGTATGCACAGGCCAAGGCATCATGCAAAGGCTACCTTTTCGGTGCAACAAGACCAAGACCAGCAGAGCGGCAGGATGGAGGTCACCATGGAGCCCAAGACGGCGTCATCGTCAGAGTCTTTGGCAGTCGAAGATCAACTTTAGTCAGAATAGGTGTACTAGATGTTCCCCTTCAAAATGGCCAATTGTTGGCGCCCTTCCCGCTCAACATTTTGGAAGAGGACCAGGGCCTCTCTATATATAGGGCTAGCCACCAAAGGATAGGGGGCGGGGATTCAGTTCACTCACACCACCACAAGAACACCCCTCGCGAGGCTGTTCTTCCCTTGTATTATTCATCATCAGCCCCTGAGGCAATCCACTGCACCACACACTGGAGTAGGGTATTACACCACAATGGTGGCCTGAACCAGTATAAATCTCGTGTCCCTTGTGTGTTCATCTTTCTAACCTAGATTCCTTGCGAGGCTTTGGGACGTGAGTTGGTAGAGGAGAGATCTTCGCGCGCACCCCAGAGTTCGAACCTCAAGGGTCTGCCGGAACCCGAAATCCAACATTTGGCGCGCCAGGTAGGGGTGTGCCGAAATATTTTCTTCCGCCGTCTCGTGTTCCATCGTCTATCGCATCCATGGCTGACGCTCGCCGAGCCCGCGCCGAGCGTCGGGCTGCCCTCGCTGCCCACGTCGCCCAGACGACTCCCGTCGATGGGCCTCCTCGTCGTTCCCCGTCGCCTGCCGCCCACGCTACCACCGGCCCGGCGGGGAACGAGCAGCAGGCGTCGTCGTTGCATCCCTCGGTGCGGCGAGAAGGCCGCACCGCCACCCCGTCGCTAACTCCAGCAGGCTCGTCGTCGCTGAAGGAAATATGCCCTAGAGGCAATAATAAAGTTATTATTTATTTCCTTATATCATGATAAATGTTTATTATTCATGCTAGAATTGTATTAACCGGAAACATAATACATGTGTGAATACATAGACAAACATAGTGTCACTAGTATGCCTCTACCTGACTAGCTCGTTGAATCAAAGATGGTTAAGTTTCCTAGCCATAGACATGAGTTGTCATTTGATTAACGGGATCACATCATTAGGAGAATGATGTGATTGACTTGACCCATTCCGTTAGCTTAGCACTTGATCGTTAAGTATGTTGCTATTGCTTTCTTCATGACTTATACATGTTCTTGTAACTATGAGATTATGCAACCCCCGTTTACCGGAGGAACACTTTGGGTGCTACCAAACATCACAACGTAACTGGGTGATTATAAAGGAGTACTACAGGTGTCTCCAAAGGTACATGTTGGGTTGGCGTATTTCGAGATTAGGTTTTGTCACTCCGATTGTCAGAGAGGTATCTCTGGGCCCTCTCGGTAATGCACATCACTATAAGCCTTGCAAGTAATGTAGCTAATGAGTTAGTTACGGAATGATGCATTACGTAACGAGTAAAGAGACTTGCCAGTAATGAGATTGAACTAGGTATTGGATACCGACGATCGAATCTCGGGCAAGTAACATACCGATGACAAAGGGAACAACGTATGTTGTTATGCGGTTTGACCGATAAAGATCTTCGTAGAATATGTAGGAGCCAATATGAGCATCCAGGTTCCGCTATTGGTTATTGACCAAGAATAGTTCTAGGTCATGTCTACATAGTTCTCGAACCCGTAGGGTCCGCACGCTTAAGGTTTCGATTACAGTTATATTATGAGTTTATGAGTTTTGATGTACCGAAGGAGTTCGGAGTCCCGGATGAGATCGGGTACATGACGAGGAGTCTCGAAATGGTCGAGACGTAAAGATCGATATATTGGACGACTATATTCGGAGTTCGGAAAGGTTCCGAGTGATTCGGGTATTTTTCGGAGTACCGGAGAGTTACGGGAATTCGCCGGGGAGTATATGGGCCTTATTGGGCCATACGGGAATAGAGGAGAGAGGCCAAAAGGAAGGAGGCCTGCGCCCCCCCTCTGGTCCGAATTGGACAAGGGGCGCAGCCCCCCTTTCCTTCTTCCTCTCCCCCTCTTTCCCCTTCTCCTACTCCAACAAGGGAGGTGGAATCCTACTAGGACTAGGGAGTCCTAGTAGGACTCCACACTTGGCGCGCCCCCTCCTAGGGCCGGCCTCCTCCCCCCTTGCTCCTTTATATACGGGGGCAGGGGGCACCCCATGACACACAAGTTGATCTTCGTGATCGTTCCTTAGCCGTGTGCGGTGCCCCCCTCCACCATATTCCACCTCGGTCATATCGTTGCGGTGCTTAGGCGAAGCCCTGCGTCGGTAGAACATCATCATTGTCACCACGCCGTCGTGCTGACGGAACTCATCCCCGACACTTTGCTGGATCGAAGTCCGGGGATCGTCATCGAGCTGAACGTGTGCTGAACTCGGAGGTGCCGTACGTTCGGTGCTTGGATCAGTCGGACCGCGAAGACGTACGACTACATCAACCGCGTTGTTCTAACGCTTCCGCTTACGGTCTACGAGGGTACGTAGACAACACTCTCCCCTCTCGTTGCTATGCATCACCATGATCTTGCGTGTGCGTAGGAAAATTTTGAAATTATTACGTTCCCCAACAGTGGCATCCGAGCCTAGGTTTTATGCGTTGATGTTATATGCACGAGTAGAACACAAGTGAGTTGTGGGCGATATAAGTCATACTGCTTACCAGCATGTCATACTTTGGTTCAGCGGTATTGTGAGATGAAGCGGCCCGGACCGACATTACGCGTACGCTTACGCGAGACTGGTTTCACCGTTACGAGCACTCGTGCTTAAAGGTGACTGGCGGGTGTCTATCTCTCTCACTTTAGTTGAACCGAGTGTGGCTATGCCCGGTCCTTGCGAAGGTTAAAACAACACCAACTTGACAAACTATCGTTGTGGTTTTGATGCGTAGGTAAGAACGGTTCTTGCTAAGCCCGTAGCAGCCACGTAAAATTTGCAACAACAAAGTAGAGGACATCTAACTTGTTTTTGCAGGGCATGTTGTGATGTGATATGGTCAAGACGTGATGCTATATTTTATTGTATGAGATGATCATGTTTTGTAACCGAAGTTATCGACAACTGGCAGGAGCCATATGGTTGTCGCTTTATTGTATGCAATGCAATCGCCCTGTAATGCTGTGCTTTATCACTAAGCGGTAGCGATAGTCGTAGAATCATAAGATTGGCGAGACGACAACGATGCTACGATGGAGATCAAGGTGTCGCGCCGGTGACGATGGTGATCATGACGGTGCTTCGGAGATGGAGATCACAAGCACAAGATGATGATGGCCATATCATATCACTTATATTGATTGCATGTGATGTTTATCCTTTATGCATCTTATCTTGCTTTGATT